ACAGAAATGTTGTGTTTGAGAATGGAAAGCTTATTCTAGGCCCCATGTTAGACCCTGCTTGAATGTAAGTCATAAAGATGCCCTCTGTGTTGCTGCATTTGGGAGAGAATGCACAAGTAATGAGCAAGCAATTTGGTCCGCGTTCAAGTTGCTTTACTTTCCGCCTTGCAGCAAGCATGAGAAAATTACTTGGGGCTCTTCTGCGAACAGATTCTTGTTTGGTTATCTTCAGTTCATGCTTACAAGACGATAATAAACTGCTATCTGTAATCTTTTCAGGACTAGTAATTTATTCAGAGGTTACATGGCACTATTCGCTGATTTGGGAACAAGATTTCTCTTCCTCACGTTGAAATATAATTTGCAATCTCTCGAGTAAAGGCTGCATTAGTGTTTGACCCTGTAATAATGACAGTTCTCCGTCTGTATGTTGTTTTCTTGATTAGCTCAGCCCTGAGGGATGCTTTCAAAAGCATACTAGATATTTAGGCAGAAATACAAAATACATGTAATCCTCCAGCGTATTGGAAAACTGATTGCAGTAGGAGGAAAAAAAAGTGTTTAACAACCATTTGCAACAAGTACTTTTGCGTGGAACAAATGATTTTTGTCAATGCCTCAAGGAGGGGGGTTCATCTAAAGTGAAATAATGACTAATAGGGTGTTGAGGAATCTGCAGGACTTGGCCTTGTCTCTAGGCAGGCTATTAGCGTGTCACACAAGCCGTGCTCAACTGAAGCCTGAGCTGGGCGCTCCGTCTGAAATCACTATTTTTAGTTTATATATAAACAACTTCCTCAGAAATCGCTCTTCTGAGCTAAATTGTTTTGTTCCAAAGGTGAATTGATTTGGGAAAAGTTCAAATAAAAACCCGCTTGGCTGTGTTTGAGTTGCGAGTGTGAAGATAAATACCTATTTTGTACTCTTATTAAAGGTAAGGAGACAGAGGGACTTGCAGAAGGTCAAACAGCCTGTGGACTACGCAGGAACTGAATCAAAATGTTCAGAAAGTACCACTGATTAACAACCAGCATGTATTGTCTGGATTTAAATATTATGTTGTCAGACGTGTTGCTCCTGCTTGATTAACCATAATATGGCATAATTTTCTCTAGAGGTGCTTCCACATTGATGGAGGTCACTTGTCACCTTTCAAAGCGGCGTGAAGTGGGCCCCGTCCCTTTTTTCTGAACAGTATTTCGCAAGTGTGAATGTAAGCGGTGTCGCGGAGCTGTGGGAAGCACAGCTGAAGCAGTACGGCATGGGAGGTGAAGCGCTTCTCGAGGAGTGGCTGGGTGTGTGACCGCTGTGGCCTCCAGACTAAGAATGTTTTGAGGGGAAAAATTGTAATCTGCTTGCTGCCACATGAAGCAACAGCCTAACTAGGTCCTTCATCTTTCCTGTCTTCCCTGGGATCCTTTCTGGTATGTTCATTGCCTGCCATTAGATAGGCAATGCCTATCTAAGACATTAAGCCCAGCTGTGCCCCAGTGGGTTTTGGTGACCCTGAGGTACCTGTGGGAACACCTGGCTGGACGCAACAGCTGGAGGACGCAGCTGTGACCAGCCAAACCCCATGCACTTGGTCTCTTTTTTTGCTTTAAGAGCTGAGTCTTGTTTGCTTTTCATACTGGGGTCTGCAGGGGAAGGCTGATATTAGCTTGGTGCATCTTCCAGGAGAGGACAGCTGTCCGGAAGACAGATTCTTCCTTTGCTGGGTTAATTATCCTTGCTCACCCTGAATGTGGAGATCCCAGAATCAGTGTGTCACTTAAACTGATTACTGGGTGAAAGCCTGCACAAAGCCTTTCCTTTCAAATCACTTTCAAGTATTGTGCAGTTCCTCATTCACATATACAGTCACGGAGGTGTGACATTGATGGTGTTATTATTATTTAAAATGAAAACCTGCAAGGGAAGCAAAGCGGGAGGGTGAAGCTAGTTCAAAGCGATGGAAATGCTCCATCATCGGGACATGCAAAAATCAAGCTCCTATTGAATTTAAATTTGTGACATTGCATAAATAAAAATAGGTATGGCTTAGCCCTATAAATAGCAATAACTCCTGCAGCAAGGATGTGCATAAAGTAATATTGCTGAGAAACAGGATTCTGAGCTGTCTGGGTTGCAGAGCATCCCATCCCTATCCTGGCTGTGGGGCTGTGTCTCCTTCCAGCCAGGAGCTCACGGGTGCTCGGTGCTCGCACAAGCCACTGGTGGCAGTGCAAGCTTGGCTAATGTGAGAGTTTGTGCAGCAAGGAGATGGAGTGTCCACGAACAGAGTGTGTGAAATCGGTTATGTTAGTGACTGGCTTGTGTAAGTCTCATTGTGAGAAGGTGAGAACTTCTCAAGCACTGCTGGGGCAGCAGACAGTGTTAGAGGATTAATACCTTAGGATTATTAGTGATTTAAGCATCTGCAGCATGTGGAGCTCACTCTCTTTCTCCATGGCAGAGCAACAAAGATGACTAATCGTGGGGATAGAAACAGAAAGTTACCAAGGTGCCGTATATACCTCCTAAATTCTTGTCTTGTGGTATGAAATGAAGCTTCTTGGAGGGTGTTTGAAATGAAGAGTGCGTAGAGGCTGTACTGCACAGAGCATTCAGCACTGAGCTTTCTGTAGGTGTTGCAATTCTATCTTGGAAGTTCTTTGAAACTTTGCGTGTGTGTATTTCATGTCGATCTTTATTCTACATAGGTCTCAATTTTACATATACCCTCATGTACTTTTGTGCGTGTGTCTTTTATTTAAGGCTGTATGCCTTTCAAGTGTCAGGAAAAGAAATATCCCACAGAACACAAGAACTGACAGCTCAATAAACAGAACAAGGCCGGGCTCAAAGTTTTCTCAGTAGTTCTCCTGGCCTGGAATCAGGCTGGGAAGAACGGCTTCCCGGACCTTATTTGCCAGGAAAAAAGCCTTAAACACAAGGTGGTCTTTACGTATAATTTTCCTCTCGTTTCTTTACTTGTAATTTAACGCGACAGTTTTGCAGCAGTTTTCCTCCCTAAATATGATTTGATCCACTAACAGGTGCTTTTGATTTTATTCTCCAGCAAAGCCTTCCCTCTGTCCTCAGAGCCTTGGTAAGGGGACAGGAATGTGTTTGTCACTGTGAAACATGAGTGCATTGGGAAAAAAAATCGTTCTAAATAGGAAAAAAGAAAAAAAAGTCGAAATAATAGCAAGGGAGCAAATGCACAGATCAGTACCTGGACTGTCCTGGCTGGCACCAGCATCGTTGTGGCACCAGTGGTCTTCCAGCTCAGCTGTAATCCTATAGCCATGTTGCAGCTTGAGTTGACTGAATTTGTCAGACTTTCTTCATCTTTTCCTCCCTTTTGAACAAAATCTTTGCTGGATATATCTGTGTGCTGCGTGAAAACATGGCTGCTTCCAGAAGTTTCCAGAGAGTTTGGCCATGAGTGGGAGGTGGCCGAGGAGGGCCTGTGGCTAACCAGGAGGTCGTTTCTGCTCTTCTGGCACCAGCTGGGGTCCTTCTGATGGAGCATCTGTTGGGATATGAGGGGAGGGATATTAAAAAGATAAATTGATATCATTTAACAGCCTTATCTCCAGCCTGTTGAATAATGTTTGGAAACCCCACTGTGGCTTGATGGCCTGGGTGCGCAGGCCTTCAGGGTGAGGAAGGTGGGCCCCATGGGCACTGGTCAACAACCAACGTGTTTCCTCAGGGTGCCCGGGTGCAGTAGTCACTGGAAATAAAAGAATCACAGAAACAGTAAGGTTGGAAGAGACCTTCAAGATCACCTGGCTCAACCATCCCCCTACCACCACCGTCACCCACTGAACCATTTCCCTAAGCACCACATCCAGCCTCTCCTTGAACACCCCCAAAGGAGGCAAAATGTTAGGGTAAGCAATGACTGAATGTGCCTCTGCTCATGCTGTGTGTCAGAAATGCTTTTCTTGGTGGTGGTGTTTAGTCCAAGCAGCCATGCGTGGTCAAAGAGCAGGGCCATGCTTGGGCACTACAAGGGAAGATCTCTGTGCGGCCTGGTGGGACTCCAGGCTCTGTCCTAAGCAGTGTTTCATTTGGGGTGGGGAGACACAGGTATGCCCTTGACACTGTGCTGAGCCTCACTGGATGGGGAGAAATTCAGAGCTGCTGAAAACAGCAGAGCATCGGGTACTCTTAATAGTATTGCTGTGCTGAAAATGTCATTTCTTATCTGTTTTGTTACTGTAGGGCATTAGAAAGGGGAAATGACCTTTTCTTTCTTTTTGTTCCTGTTCTTACTGCGATTCAAAACCTTGAAAAGCGTATTCTACCCTTGGCTGGCTTGGGGTTTTGTCATTTCACTAATGCTACTTTCCTGACTGTATCTCTCCCGCTTAACCGAGAGTTAGTGACCTGGTATCTTGATGTAGGTCTCTCTAGGTGGAGACCTGCAACTGGCCTACTGCCTGGTGGCATAAATTGTCATAACACCAAAAGCCAGATAAACTTAATAGTGATGAAGGTTTTCTGAGACTTTTTTGGGGAAATGTCTTTGAGCTTGTGAATATTTAGTAATACACCTGTGGTTGTGAGTTTATCACTTTAATTTTTTTCTTATCTCCATATGCACTGGAAGAATTAGGCAGCTTTGATGGGAATAGGTTTATGATAGGAAAAAAACTTTGTCTGGGGAAAAAATGTGGGTTTTTTTGTTTGTTTTCCTATAATACACAGATATAAGTCTCTGTGATACTTCTTCACCATGTACTTCTTGCTGTTTCACATAAAATCTGAGGACCTTATAACTGATTTAAGCATGTAAAGGAGGACTGTTTTCTTGGGAAGACTGAGAAAAATTCTTCTAATAAATGCTGCCAGTCTCAACCAAAGTATGTGGGATCCCTCTTCATGAAGATTGTGGCTATATTGTGGTTGGAGCTGGCACAATTCCTGTGTAGTAGAGTAGCTCACGTGGCGTTTATGCAATTGTTTGTGATCAGAGACGAAGGCATCCTAAGAGAAGATTAGCAAGATTTTTTTTTTCCCTCTGTGGCTTTCTGTAGGTGCACAGAAAAAGCTAATCTCTCCCTCTCTTGTTGTTTAATGCAGCTCATATAATTGGAAAACCTCCTCTGAAGAGTCTGGGGCAGACAGCTGTGCCAGCTGTGCCATTAGTAGTGTCACCTAATGGGAGCAGAGCGGAGTGGAAAGCAAAACAAGCAGCAGTAGGATGTTTCTGTGCATCTTTCCAATGTTCCCTACAGCCAAGCTTGCTAGAGTGAATTCAGCTGTGAATTTGAAGAGCAGAAAAAAAGATTTTCTTACCACCGGTGCTGTTATACTGTTAGGCTCCACAAACGGTGTATTTGACCCTAAAGTTACTGCTCTGGCCGTATAACGTTCTTTTTACTTTTTGAAGCATGCAGTCTTTGGGTTTGGGCATTGTTGTAGATAATTTGCAGATTAGTTTATTAATGAAAGTTCACCTGGTAGCGAGCATGCTCTGCTGCCTGTTCCTCAGAGGGTGAGCAGTAAAGCTGAGTTGTATGATTACCTGATTTATATTTCCAGGGCCAGTTCTTTGGTCTTTGCCTTCCCAGCTTGGCTACTGGAGAACTCTGTGTTTGGGGGTACCCTGAAGCCTTTAAGGGCAGGAGATGCTGCTGACCTTGGCATGTGGATCTGCAGCTTGGTGCTTCCATCGTTCATTACTATGATGCTAATCACCTGGCCATGCATGCATATTCAGGGAGTGTTTATTTAAGGGTGCATGTGGGGAAATCCAAATTCCCCAAACTGCGCGGAGTTACGTGGTCGTCATATTTGAAATGTGTGACCCATGGTTACAAAGGATGTTTTTTGTAAATGCTGTTGATCTGGTGGCATATGTCAGGGACTGGAAAATGCAGGCTATTTATAATTATCCACAGGTGGAGAGAGAGGCGGCGCTGCACAGCACTAGCAATAATTATCAGCAGTGTAGAAAGTTCATCTCTTAAGCCATTGGTTCTAACACACTAAAAAGTATTTGATCTGGAATCTGGCACAGCCTTCAAATGGAGCCGTTCAAAGGAGTCCTGACCTAATTTTGCTAAGGAAGTGTGCAAGCCTTCCTCGTTCTGCTAATTTCTTGCAGAAGGTTTCAATGAGAGTCTTCCTACCCTACATGTGCATATATTTTACTGCAGAGCGTTTTGAATAAAAGCAGCCATTACCAGCCAGGTGGTAAATATAGCATGCAGCTTAGCAGAAATGACCTTCAATTAAGCAGAGGCGGTCCCTTCTCCTGCGCCGTGCAGTTGTCAATTACTTTTTTTTTTTAAAAGACTATTTTTGCTGTGTCTTTTTGTGAATAATTGCAAAGCCTGAAGCACAGCGCTGGCTCTGTGTATAAGAGCAGATTTGGTGCTTGTGCTGAACTCCTCTTCCAGTGCACACCTCAAAAATTTGGAGTCTCTAACAAACAGAAGTTTGCTTTCTTTTCCAGGGAAATACCTCATTAATTATGAAACATTGTCCACTGAGCTATGTAAATTTTTCTGTTGAAGGATATAGCACGGGTTCTTTGACTTTCCTTGGGATAAATCAAAGCAGAAGTGACGACGTTATGTCTTAATGGGCTTTCATCTTCAGAAGAAAATGGAGGGGGGGGAAATCCTATTTTTCAACAGTGGCACAAGAGCACATACTGCAATAGAGCTCAGGTTTTCCTCATTACTGGCAGTGTAGGTGTAGGCTGTTTTTATCGTAAGATAAAAACAAACAAAGCAACCTGAACCGAGGGCTTTTAAATTCTGTCTCACCTGTCACTCACACGTTTTCTCATGCCATTATCACTGCAGTGTTGTTGTAAGACTACTGGTTTCCTACCAGAAACGCAGCCTTTTTGTTCAGTATGGTTTTTTGACTCATGGTAATGGTATTTCTGAACACCACCACTCAGAACGCAGTAACTGTAGTGCGCTTAATAGTAATTTGTGTCTTAAGTTCCTTATTTGCTCTTTTCCTCTACAATCTCTTGTGCTTCCAGCCTCATTAGGCTGATTTATTTATTTTTTTTTCCTCCCTGCTGCTTTCGCGCTGTCAAGCAAGCCAGGTAACTGCTAGTATTGGCACTGCTCTCTGGTCTCGTGTTGCAAGCACGGGATCCAACAGCAGAAAACGAGGTAAATGAAAAATTGGGTCTGCTCTGGTCGTTCGCCCACCGCCGGGAATCCTTCTGCTGGCTTGGCCGAGGGTGGTTGCTGGTGATAAAGGGGGAGCAATGAGGGGACGGGGGGTGACAGAGGTGCCTGTGGGGAGTGATTTGGAGTGGTTTGTGTATCCTAGCCAGACCATAATGCAAAGAAAAACTGGAGGTGGCTGGTGTGGGGCAGAGGAGTCGCTGTGCTGCTCCACCTCTGGCCAGCCAGCCGTGTCTGGCAGCACACGAGTCAAGCACTTAAGCAGACGTGGATGATTTGAGCACCGTATCCCTCATCCCCTCTGCTTTTTGGAAAGTGAGCGTGTGGAGCCAAACCTTGTGCATGGCGCTCCTCGCTGCCTTGGGGTTTACTTGGAAGCTGGGTTGTGCTCTGGTGGGCACGGGACTGGATGGGGCGGGAGGCACAGCGAGCCCATGCTCCTCCTGGGACCTCAGCATCCCTGTGTGCCAGCACCTTGGCTTCTGAAGCCATCAGTAACCCCTCGCCCAAACAGCGGGGAGCCCGCAGGAGCTGGGATTAGTTTGAGAAGTGTCCGGTTACGAGGGGACTCTAATCAAGGTGACAGCTGCTTTCCCCATGCTGCATTGAAACAAAATCTCCCAAACCCTGAGACAAAGCCTCACCAAAGACGTTAACCTCAGCGCTCCTCTCTTTCCACAAGTTGCTGGAACACGTAGCGCCGTTCACTAATGAAATACTGGAGAGGTAATCTCTTTCCGTGGATGCCAGAGGGGAAAACCGAGGATCGCTATCCCTGGGCTGCGTACACGTGCTCTTTTTACTCTTGCCCTTAAGTATTTATGCCAGAGTTTCCTAATCATGGGGTTCTTCTCCCAGCATCACAAAACATAAATCCTGCTCTGCTTGGCAGGCCAACCTATTATTTGAAATAAGTATCTAGGCTTGCCCTTAAGTAACCATTTCTTTCTTGGGCTACTTAAGCTGCCACCCTTTATCAGCAATCCAGGGGTGAAGAATGGGAGGTGCCACCTGAAATAGCATCGGTGTGCTGCTGCCAGGGAGGTGTGTGTTCAAGGAATGGGTTGTAAGAGCCCTCCCTAGGCTCTATTTATACCTCCCATCTAATAATACCTGCTTTAAAAAAAAAAAAGTCTCCTGTGGGTATCTTACCCACAGGAAAAAACAAAAACAAAAATACCTTCCCAGGTTTTGGGGTCAGTTTGCTTCCAGTTATGAAGGGCAAGCTTGTGGGAAAGAGTTTTATGCAAAAGAGTGAAATAAATGAAGACCATGAGAAATTACTGGTTTGGGGTTGTGACTAAAGTTTTAGGAATCAGCCTCTGACACAGAGCCTTTCTTAGTAGGTTCCTCCTCAAAGAAAACTAGTCCTGGGCTTTATTTTTTGAGGGGTGGGGTGGTGGTGGTGCTAGAGCAGCAGTAAGCTGGATTTCCTTCAAGGCAACTGGTTGATAAAACGCTGTGGGAGTTTCACAGGGCGCGTTTAAGAGGTGGTTCAGCAGTGACTTGAGAGCCTGAGGAAGGTGGAGCTGGCGGATGGGGGTGGGAGGGCAGGCCCCAACCCCACCACCAGCACCCTCTGTGCGGCCGCCCCGTTCCCCCAGCGTCAAGCCGTGACTGGAAACCTTGCCTTTCCCTGGCCACAGAGCCTTCTTTTCCCAGCTTTATGGAAAAGCACATTTGTATCACTTCATTTGTGGTTGAGGATGTGAAGTGTTTCCAGAGCTGAGAGTACGCGCTGAGCAGTGCTGATATTTCCCAAAGAAATGGGACGAGAGTTAAGGTGCTGGTAGGACACGAGCTCTGTGTTTCCCAGCTGGCAGCTGTTTGGTTATTTCGAAGCATTTGCTTTATCCTTTTATCATATATTTTTACCTCAGTCCATTACCATTATATTTTTACCTCAGTCGCACCTGGCTCGGACTTGCTGTGCAGAGACCACGCTGGGCGATGCGCTTGTTGAAGCAAAGAAACCGCTCAGCAGTGAGGAAGCACTAACGCCTGACCAAGAGCTTTTGTAACTAATAATTTTTATTCTCCCAGCGTCTGGAGAAAGAGGTAACCCCACAGCAAGTATCCCTTGAGCAGAAGACTAAGCGGTGTAGGCCACAACAGCCATGGTAGCACCCAGGTATTTGAGAGTGGGACTGCTTAGGCCGAACTCTGCCAGTGGGGACGGATGGGATGAGCCAAGCGCCTGCTCCTGCAGCAGCCATCCCATCCCGCACGTTTCCTCTTCAAAAATTCCCATTGCTGTTTGTTTTTTTTTTAAATGTATTTACTTATTTATTTTCCTTGCAACACAAGTAGCTGCTGAAACGGTAAGGCAGACCTCACGCTTGAGGTGACAGCTTCCTCCAAGGGAACAGGAACAAACACTGGGGAAATTAAAGGCAGGGGCATTCATACCAGAATTTTTCAGGGCTGTTTTGTTTTCTTTTTTTCCACATGTATTTTTAATCCTCTCATGCTGGCGGGGGAAGAGGCATCAGAAGGCAGCGTGTTCATTAGGTGTGGTGCGGGACTTGTGAAGCCTGACCAAAATGAATGCGCTTTGCTGGGTGGTCATTGAGTACGTGCTCTGGAAATAACTCCTTCATTTTCTCTTGAGGTTTGGGAGATGAAGGGGGACTTTCATTCAGCCTTCCTACTTATTTAAAATAATATGTTGGCATGCCAAGCAGCGCGGGATTTATTTTTTTCTGATGCTGGGAGAAGAACCCCGTGATTAGGAAACTGGCGGTTTGTGAATCCCAGTCTGTTTGCTTGTGTTTTAGATGCTTGTGTTTGTTGTAGGGTAAGGTGTGCACAAAAGTAAAAGGAAGTGTATTTTGGGGAAAGTTGTGAAATGGGGGGTGTTTTCTGAAAGAACAGTGTGTCTCCTCTGGCAGCATCACGGTCAAACAAGTAAATATGTATTTTGGTAGGGAGCCCAATTTTGAAACCATCCATGGATCTGTCCCTTCGTACCCTCCTTAGTGTGCTTGGAATTGCAGCCAGTCTCTGAAAATACCACAGACATCACGTCAAGTATTCTTGTAATTTTTTTCATATTTCATGGACTTAAAATTACTTTCTTAGTTCTGTGATAAAGGTCTGGATTGCTCCACTGTAAATTCACTGTGTTTCTAGTATAATAAGCACAAGTTAGGGATGAAGCAGCCCAGAACTCCGGTGGTGGTTTCTTGGCACTTTCTGTGGAAGAAAACGTAGCTGAGTGCTGACTTCTGTTTATTTGTGACCTCAGCCGAAACTGTTGCTAACAGAATTTATTTGGGCATTTGTATTTTCAGCGCAGAGGGATCTGTCCTGAGCTAACAAACAAACAAAAATAACCCTAGCCATTTCCCCGCTGAGAATTTAGGAGACGGAATACTGCTGTATTGTTGCTGCTGATCTCCTGTGGGTATGGAGGGCATCGAGGAAGTCAGGCTGTGAGACACCAGGAGAGAGGAGAGCCACAGTATGACTTCATGTGCTGAAAATCTTTCATCTGGTGACTGCTCACAACCAAGTGGTATCACTCCAGGAAAGTTACTCACGTGTTGGAAGTGGCGGCAGCAATGGACGGGAGAGAGGCAGCTTTCCCTGGAAGGATGGAAAAAATGAAGAAAAACTGCTGTAGCCATACATTTTGATTCCTTTTACTTCTGTTTTCATTCTTTTTTGTTGTTGTTGTTGTCTTTTGGTACATGGAGGGTGTTGATGCAATCAGTTCCACGCTGTGCTCTGCCCAGGAGCCATGCAAAGCACTGACAGGGAGCAAGTGGTTATCCAGCACCCTAGGGTACCCTGGGCATTTGTGGGAGCTGGAGGTGAAGGAATCGCCTCCTCTTACCCAAACCTGAGCTGCTCACCTCCTCTGGAATGATGCTTGGTCTGGAGAGCATGGCATTGTTGCAAGTAACCTCATGAAAGATGAGTGCGAAGGCAATGGTGGATTTATCAGCGGTGCTCCGGCAAGTGGAGGTGTGCCTGCTGCTGCGGCTGCTTTTGAGAAAGCAGAGGGCCACCTTCACCAGGAGAACTGGGGCAGGGTGGTAGGTCGTAGCAGACTGTTTGTGGAGGAAATAAACCAGAAATACCACTTGGAGTATCTGAACTGATGTGGAAATACATAGATAAGGCTGCTCTGTCAATACTTCAGCACGACGTAAGAGATCTCTAGCTCTTACAGGAGCAACAACCAATAAGTTGCAGCCTTGTTAAGCTCACGTATGCTTCTAGTAAAGTACCTCTATTTTATCAGTGTGTCTCTGGAAATCTGTGTGGTTCATGCCTCTCAGTATATGAATTAGCCAATTTAAGGCAATGCATCACAGTGCATGTGGTTATAATGCTCCCACTTATATGATGAAAATTAGGGAATATTTTATAATGATACGAGCTATTAAAACTTATTTAGCTTTCACCTAATAAATATTTATTAGCTGCTAAATATCAGTCATTAATGCCTGATAAACGAGGTTCTCCAGGAGGCAGCTTCGGCTAGGAAGGCATCTCTCCCCTTCCTTCCCTGCACAGCTCTGCATTAAGCAAGGTCCTTCCCACCTGCTGCTTTGTGCCTGAGGTTGGAATTTCCCCTTTTCAGTGCTCGTCACTGAGCCTGGATGGAGATACGGGGATCTTGCACTCTCCCAGCACTCAGAAAGGGTGTATTTCTTTAGGACAAATCCTCTTAGAGATGTGAATTCATTTACTTCTCAGGGAGGATTGAAATGGAGCATCTATTCAAGCTGCGCTGTGATTTTCTTCACTGGAATTCAGATGGATATTATGCATGTCACAGGGCTCAGTTCCCGAACACATTTTTTACTCGTTAAAGTCTGCTTTTAAATGTCAATATACTCACCTCTTAAGCTTAAGCATCCAGAATTGACAGGTGTTTTTTTCAGAACTAGACTTTGTGGAGGGGAAAGGAGGAAGGCAGTATTAAAATAAAGCTCCGTGGGACTGCTGGTTCAGCGTTAGCATCAGTGGATGACAAGATTGGAAGTACTACAGGTGCCATTTTCCAGGACAGCAAACACATGTAGAGTTCTTGGTTACTTTTGGGGTGGGCAGAATTTTCTACAGAGCAAGGAAACAGTAATTCAGCCATGTGCATTATGGCTGTTTGATGGGAATGGCCAAACTCCATTTATATACGGAAGCATCTTATGTTAACACAGGGAAAAAGGCAGGAAAATGGGGAGCTGAAAAAAAAAAGATGGGTGTTCAGTGGTGTTTTGCTGATGCATTAGGTGGTGGCTTGCTGCAGAATTGCCTTTCAGGAGTTAGGGACTTCACATTTTCAAATGTAAAGTTTCTAGTGCCTGGCAGTTTCAGGATTTCCATGCATCAGCATGATCCGTACAGATAAGGGAGCCAGATTTAGTTATGTGCTCTTGCCATTTAAAAGGCCAACCGTTCCGTGCAGTTTTGCAGAAGGAACTGTATTAATTTCCTTTTTCAGTCCTTGTGTTCTGTGCGAGGCTTTATTTTTCTTAAGAAACCGCAGCATCTGAAACTTTGAGGATTAAAAGTAACTTTGAAGAGTGTAATTACAACTCGGTTCTCCGCTGCATTGCACTTGTTTTGTAAACTGTAACCGTGCAGCTGAACTTGCCCTTTGAATGAAGCCTTACGTACCACGAGGGTTAATACTTAAACCAAACCACCTGCTTAAAATTGGCTACCCATTACCCCAGTTCCATTAAATTAGGAACTCGGGTAACAAAGTGAAAAGGTTCTTGCTTTATAGCCTGAGCCACTTTCCCACCCTCAGGCACCGGGCTTATTTTAAGTCTCTTGCTCGGAAGAAAATAGAATTCATTTCTTCAGCTGCACATGACTGTCTCAGCGTGGCGAAAATAGAAACCGGTGCTACCCCAGATGCATAATTCATCCCGTAGCTAGCAGGCATTCATGCAATACAGTAAATTGCAAGGGCTGCTTCCTTCGAGCACGCCTCGCATGCGGGTGAACGACGGAGCGGGGCTGCGGTGCCCGTGCTCGGTGCCCTTCGTGTGCTCAGGGCAGATCGGCCACTTCTTTCCTTCACTGGTGGGATGGGTGCTGGGAGAATAAGGACTGGGGCCCTTTGAGCCTGGTTTTGTGGGAGCAAACACTCACCTGGCATCCACTGAAGTTACGGGGAAGCTTAATGTGTGAATGAACAGGCTGCAGCTTTGCTGGCAGCCCGTTGATGAAAAGATGCAGCTTAAGGCTTTACAGAAAACGTCTGGATTTGTATATGAAAAAGTAGTTTTGTAAGGTATATCGCTGCTGTGTGATGTATTTTTCTTCTTTCTGTCTTTCCCCCAGACGGTGGTGTTTGCTTCTTCCCCTCCACCACATCAGTATCACTAGTTACTGCCACCAGAATTGGAGAGCTGGCATTCAGGACACTCGCTGCTGAGTATTCAAGAAGTGCAGCACAATGTAGATCATGTAAATAGCAAAAATCTTTGCTTCTGAACAAAAGAGAATTTCCTAATTTCCATTAAAAAATATAGAAGCTTTTGTTCTTGGTTGTATCTGAGCAAATGCCATCAACTGGAGTCAAGTTTGTGTTGCAGCAGTCAGAGATCTTACAAACGCTGTAGTTTGGAGACACTGAAGGATGAAATAACCTCAGGTATAAAGAGGAATACAGAAAGGTTTTGTTGTTTATCTCACAGAATGAGAACATGACAAAGGGAGCTAACCTGTTTCTTGTTTTAATAGATACACACACATCTTTTTCTCCTACTTTCATTTTAGAGGAATGAACACTGAACAATGAAAAACGGCATGTCAGGGACAGGCAGAAGTTTAGGTGGCTTCTCAGCAGAGAGAGGAAATGCTTTGAAGTGTGTCCTGCACAGTTACACAGCGACAAGCAAGCAAAACTTCTCATTCATTAGGATGCATTTTGAAAGAGGCTCCTGCATGTGGGCCAGGGCCACAGGATGGCCACACAGCCTCAGTTCCTAAAGCTCGCCTAGACCAGGAGAGTTGGGGACTTTCCTCAGCAAGGGAGTGAGGTTTTACTCACAAGGGGTCCTTGTTGCAGGAGTAAAGGTCTGTCATTGTGTGTGTGCTTAGCTCTGCATGGCCCCAGTTGTGCTGGGATTTAGGACAATCATGGTTTCAGTTCACTTTCCCTATGACTGTGGTGGTGATGTTCGCTTTGGGTGGATCCCATGTGTTACACTTGCACCTATCTCACTCGCCAGGACCTCTCGATTGTTATAGCTGGGCACTCAATAAAAAGGTTGTAGGGGTTGTTGCACAAGCACATGTGTAGTGTCTTACAGTAATTGGTATTGCAAATAAGTAAGGGGGGAAGTAAATAAAGAATGAAGAGAATTTGTCTTTTATGAGCAGTCCTTTACAGCATGAGTTAGAACAAGCAAACAAAAAAACCCGTAACAACAAAAACCACAGCAGAGCAGATGCAATCCATGACTTAATCGCATGCTCCACCTTCAGTGTGCTGAGCAAGCCCCAGTGGTGTCCCCAGTGGGATTCCTTCTGGGGCATGAGGTGAGGTGTGGGTGAGGGCATCTGATGGAGGTCCATCAGATCATTTCTTTATGAACAAAATAACGTAGGCAATGTTACTGCTCCAGGGAGAGGACAGAATGGTGCAAAAGTCAGTACCAGGACCAGATGACACAAGCACTCAGGGAGCAGTGCTGCACAGGCTGCTTTATCCAAACCACATCTCATTGAAAAGGCTGGGAAGGAAGCAAATCCTACTGCTGCTGCTTAGAAAGAAAGGAAGAAAGAAAGAAAGAAAGAAAATCAAATTATATAAACCAAAGGCAATTTATGTGCTGCGTTTGGCAGTGAAAGTTCTGAATGCAGCTCCGAGGGGGGTTTATCTCACTGGACATAAACACGGGGTTGTCTCGGTGGAACAGGTGAGTAACTCCGCAAGAGATTTCTGTGCGAGCTGCTCACTTGTGTTGGCCAGCCCTTCAGAGAGGGAATTCAGGTGGCAGAAGTTTGTGAGTCTTGGCAAGTTTTCACTGCGCCGACTGGAAGAAAGGGTGTTTCTGCTGGGCCTCAGGCGAAAGCTGGGATTGTATCACCTGGTAGTGTGCGTGTGTAGGTACTGGTCTCGTGGTGCAGAGGCTGTGCAGTGAGCTCCAGAGGTGTCACAGGGTTGGGTCTCCCAGTGCTGATGCTGCACGTGATGCCTCTGCCTTAATCTTGGTCTTAGGTGCTCAGCATCCCCAGAAGCCACTCGTGTTTCTGATCCTGTCCTCTATCGATTAGGCACAGCTGAGGTTTAGTTTATTGAGGTTGGTTGTGCTTAGCTTAAAACTCCTGGATTGTAGTTCAGCTTTAGAAAAAGAGCTTGCTAAAGTCTATCACATAGACTGCCTCAAACTGTCCAGGAATTGAGCGCAACACCAAGCTGGGTGCTTCGAGGAAGCCTGGGGCAACCTGACCCCTCCTTACTCATCATTCTCTGCCCTGCAGTGTATGTCATGACTGGGTTTGGGTCACCCCCTTCCCTCTCACACCCTTTTCCTTGTGGTTATCAGCTGAAATAAGGGGCCAGCATTTTGAACCATGCTGGGCTCTGGGAGGCACATCAATGGTTAGCCCTGAGCAGCATTTGCCTTCTCAGCCTGGGCGGCTGTGGTGTGTGCTCCCCCAAAATGCTGCAAGCCACGGATGGGGAGATTTGCTCTCCCCTTGTCTCTCCAAAGCTGTTTGCTCTGCCCTTGGACTGGGACACCGGCGTGATTCTGGGGTATGTACCCCATGAGCACAGCAAGGCTGTACCTCCGAAGCCCTTGTTAAGTCCTGCTCCGTTCCAGAGGGTGTGCAGAACCACCTTGGGCTTTGCCAAACCCTTCCCTCTCTGCCGTTAGGGCTGGCAGACGAGCGGGATTAAAAATAGATCTGGCTGCTAACTGTTTGGATCCCCAGGTGGCTGAATTTCCATGTAATAGGACTTTTCACCATAATTTCTCTGCTTGGGGTGTATCAGCGATGCAAAGCTGCCTTTCTGCAATCACAGTTTTATTCATCGCATTTTGTTTCTGCAGTTGCTCAGCTTTTATGTCACTCATCTGTGGTAGTAGGTGGCATTTGCTACTGTAAAAACTGAGGAACTCCGTTGAAGAGAAGCTGTACTCCCTTAGAGCACCTGCTCTGGTATGTCTTTTCCTTCCTTTCTTCCTCTTTTGCTTTCCTTGTACTTAAGCCTTCTGAGGAAGCTGATTTCCAGCTCGTCCTGGTGTGGTGACTTGGCTGACATGACCCGTGTTTGTCCCTCGAGGTGTGTGACAGCTGCTTGTGTAATGTTTACAAACCCAGGGTACGCAGGGGAACATTTTTCCCCTCCCCTTGTCCAAGTAAGGTGTCAGCCTTGGACCTCTCTCCTCTCAGATACACCAAGGTGCCGTGTGAGCTTGAAAACAAAATATAATTTGCATGCAGGGTTTCTGCTGGTGTGCCACCTCACCCTGCTTCACCAGCCTTTTGCAGAACATGACAAGGGAAGTATAAAATTGTTTATGAAATATTTATATGGGAACTACAAGCATTTTACCATAGATCCTTATTTTTTCCCATAGCTTAGCTGAAACTCTTCACTTTTAGAAAGCACATGCATTATAAAGCTGTGTTATTGTGGTTTTATTATCCTTTATGTATATTTATATAAAAGTTTTTATACAAGTACACCTTTTTAACGCAGTTGACTTCCTGTGTAGCTTTCTTGGGAGCTGCGAGGTACTGAATGAACATTCCTCCTGTTTCGTGAAGCATCTTGCCTTTGTTAGCATATAATGTTTCTGCAATTCATTAAGCTTTATAAGAGTTTCTTCATCGTGAATGAAAAGAATTGCAGGTATTCCAGGAATCTATGAATAGCTATTTCATAATAAGGGGCTAATAAGAGAGGTGCATTTTTTTCCTGGTAATCTGAGTTTCAAGAGCTGCGAGCACTAAGAGCTCAGTGTTATGGCCTCGTTGCTAAAACTTGATACTTCAGCTGCATGAAAGGAAGCCGTAGTCTTCAATGAGGTTGTGGAGAGAGAAAAATACGGATCTGTGCTGTGTCAGAATATTTCTTGGTACAGCAGTGAGCGAGCACCTACTTCTCTTTATCTGATCCAGAAGTGACAGCAGCGATATGTTCGGTGTGGCCAAGAGCTAGAGTAGAAGGAGGGTGGCTGGACAATAAGTCTCATTTGAGCTCCTGTAAAAAGGAAAATAAGTAAATTACTTGCAAATCCTGTAGCGTGCTACAAGTCTGTCTCTGGTAAGGAGCATTAAATGATTCTGCTTTGGAAAAGGCACCTTGGAATGATCATTTTGCCTCTTAGAGAAGTAATTCTGCTCGATTTGCTTTCCTCTGTGTAGTGAATTGCGGGAGCTGCTGTGAGAGCCCTTCAACCTTAATGCCTTCCTTTTAGGAAGTGGTATTGCTAATGGGAAGTTGTACAGATTAGGGTGTATCAGTGCCTGGCTTCTATCAAGCAGCTTGGCAGGAATTGCGGCATACTCTGCTAATAGATTAGGTTCTCTAATGGTGTATCTTTACAAGCACAATCTCAAATGAGATACTGGAGGATGACTTTTGTTTCATGACTGTACTTAAGAGTATTGCCTTTAAATCATGGGCGCTTATTGTGCTTCGGTTTACTTATGTTTAATTTTTAAGCAAGGATTCCCTTGAGCCATGTACTCGGTTTTACTTAAGCCCCATAATAAGGTAAGTATCAGATGAGGATGATTGTTTAACAGCCATGGATTTTCACAGTATAATTAAGGTTAATGTTTTCCTAAACTTATTTGGTTTTCTATCTTTTTCAATTAGTGTCCAATAAAAAAAGAGAGGTTTTTAGGCTATCTCTGTTCTAATTTTTTGTTTTTTCCTAATGTGATTTAATTATTTCTCAGGGGAAGATCTGTCTGCTTTGGCTTCAATATTTCAGCAACATATAAACATACAGGAATATGCAGAGCCCTGTGCTCTGAAAGTGCTGGGGGTTTGATTTGAGGTGCCAAAGAGGCAGGAGTGCCAATAAAACAAAGCTCTTTTTTACTTGTCAGCAGCCTTAGGCTTTCACTATTGGGGAATATCAACACCAAATAAGTAAGTCTAAACTTACACTCGGTGCTTATCCTATATCAGTTTTAAAAATAACATTCATTCCTTCCCAAAGTAAGAGAGATTCGATTTAATGCTGCTGGTTCAAGGTACATTGGCTTTATCAGCAAGACGCAGGCACATCCTTCCCACGTATTTGAAAGGAGTAGGAACATTTAGATGATGTCTCACTTCACACAGGCGAAATTGTAGGCCCAGAAAATAAGAGTTCATTGAGCAAGTTGAAACCGAGAATGTGTTTTCTGCCATAAAACGACAGAATGTGCATAGAGTGTGCTCCTTGCTAATGCCTTCTAGTTATCTGTTACTGTTGTTGTTGTAGCAACTACATGTGAAAATCAGGGAAATTTAGAAGGATATGAAAGCTTTCTAAACCAGATAAAGATAACAAAAAATCTGTGTCT